ATCAATTAACCTAACAGTCATGTTTTTGGTCTGTGGGAGGAAGCTGGAGTACCCGGAGAGAACCCACGCATGCACGGAGAGAACGTGCAAACTCTACCCAGAAAGGTCCCTGGACTTTGAACCGGTGACCTTCTTGCTGAGAGGCATCAGCTCTACCAACTGAGCCACCGTGCCGCACCGCAAAATGGACAATACAACAGAAATGTCAGTGAAAAARCAAATTCTCAGATTTACAACAGTTAATTCAAAGTTGAAAGCATAAAAGTGTGATTTTTATAGGATAAAATGTTTCTGCTCTCTCTGGAAGAGCTGATCTGAAGCTCTGCCTGTGGTAATACTTGTGCAGCAGCACATTTCTTTTATGGCACGTAAAGAAGTGAAATAAAAAAGATCACATTATACCGTGTTCTCCAACTTACCTGTCCATCAACTTGGAGTCAGCCTTGGAGTTTGACGTATTTTTCTGCCTCAGTCAGTCACTCTGTCACTCAGTCAGTCAGTCAGCCTCCCTCTGCTGTGTGACAGAGAGAAGACATGGAAGACATGTCAGCCAACAGGTTTTTAAGGGAGCTCAGGGCCGTCACGTCTGCCTTCGCAGTGACTGATGAGGTTAGGRAGAGTGACGGGCAGCTGCAGTCTCCTTTCAGCCCACGGGCCTGCCTGGCATTAATGTTGTGTGCCATGTTCTCAGAGGGAACCTGTCACTCAGCCATCACTCAACCCGACAGGCATATGGTGCACAGAGACGCAGAGCATGAAAGAGACTGAAAAAGTAGCAACAGATCCCTGGGTGGCCGCTCGCAGATGAAGGTTGTGGTGCTTCTCATCACTGTTAGTGGGCAGCAGGACTTCAACTCCAAGGCCACACGTGGACATCAAGGTGGCAGCGAGGCCTGGATAGACATCAAAGTCTGGATCCATCAGTCGTGTCACRTGACATGAAAGGGAAGCAGCTTGGCTGATCTGTTTTCAACTGGTCTGCGTGAATCATGAAAACAYATTCTGTAGGTACTGGGCAGAATTCAATCAGTCTATCCTCTTTTCATTCAGAGGTCCTGTGTTTGGCTCAGGACATCATCAAAATGATCTGGTTTGTACCCGCTTCGAAACTGTCTCAGATCTAACCTCAGGTGTACGATAAGCTTCAGAGAAGCAGCTGTGCATCATTCTGAAAGGGTTAATGGTCATTTCCAAACAATGTGGAACTCATCGTTCTACAAAGGTTATTTAAAGTGGAAAACAATGACAGCTGCTAATTGTCCCAGGATAGGACATGCCATCATGTTCACCCCGGGTCAGACCATGCAGTGCTGAYGGACTCTACAGACATTTCAGAGAATTAAAGGTTAAAGTTCATAACGGAGCAACTGGGAAAAAAGACTGAATAAATATTATGACTTGCACGGAAGAAAAAAATCTTCTTTCTGAAAAAACATGGCAGCATGATTTATAAAGTTGAATTAAAAGAAACACAAGTCTTCTGGAACAATTTGTCTACATTAGSTTTTCAGTTGGTAGAGCGGTGTATGGATGGGTAAATGAAGGTCCAGATCATAAAGTGCTTTGAGTATCGAAGTTGCAATTTCTTCCAGACAAATGAAACCAAAAATTGAGGTGCTTCCACAWTGCACAGTGTTAGTCAAAACAAAATATCAGCTCAAACAGCTCATACCAACTGTAAAGCATGTGGGGGCTTGTTTTACAGCCACAGAACTTGGGCACCTTGCAGTCACTGAATCTAATCTTCTGTCTCTGTGAGCAACAACTGTACAATGTTAGCCTCAAGACAGAACTATAATCACAATACAAACTTACGTGTAGTTAGAAATTACTCAATCTTCTTTMTAAATGTTTTAAATGTGATATGTTGATGCTTCGTTTGTTAATGCATGTTTATGAAGCTCTGTAAGCTGAGACAGAGGCAACAAAATACAGGGCAAGTTCAGGAATACTAAAAAAAACCACACCTGTCTGCAGCATTCCACAGGTGAACAGGYTTATTGGTGACAGGTGAGTTTCATGACTGGGTATAAAGGAAGCATCACTGAAAGACTCAGTCGTTCACAATCAAAGATAGGACCAMGTTCACCACTTAGTGAACAACTGTGTGAGTAAATAGTGTAACAATGTTTGCCATGGAACAGTCAGTGTTGTATTGTGATACTTGAGTAAAAGTACAAGTATCTCACCAGAAAATGACTTTGGTAAATGTTAAAGTCTSCTCAAAGAATATTACTTGAGTAAAAGTCTTAAAGTATCTGATTTATTTTGTACTTATGTACTAAAAGTAAATTTCTGACATAAAATGTACTTAAGTAATAAAAGTAAAAGGACTGAGTAAAAATGAACAGTTGGATTTTCCAAAATAAATTTATTGGGGCGGTGACRTCTTCAAAACATATTTTTTGTAAAGTTATGCAGCTTTGATGGATTATGTACAAACTAATTACAGTGTCAGAATGGCAAATATTTATACTTCTCATCCAACCACAATTAAATTCAATCCAGGAGCCACAATTTTTCATGGTAGTATATTTTTAAACAACAACAAGCTGAAATGAAGTAGGAGAAACGACTTTTTACTTCTTACCTTTTTTAAAAAATGTAATGAGTAGAAGTAAAAAGTAGGCTGAAAAATAATTATTCAAGTAAAGTACAGATAACCAAAATTTCTATTTAAGTACAGTAACAAAGTATTTGTACTTAGTTACTTTACAACTCTGGGAACAGTTGCAAGGATTTAGAGATTTCATCTTCTGCAGGCCATAATATCATCAAAAGATCAACACAAAGTTCAAAAGCCAGCCTCTCTGATGGTATGGGGGTGWATTAGTGCCCATGTCACACCATGAAGGCACCATTAATGCTGAAAGCTACATGCAGGTTTTGGAGCAACATACACTGCCATCCAAGCTACATCTTTTTCAGGGACGTCCTGCTGATTTCAGAAAGACAATGAAGACACATTCTGGACGTGTTCCAACAGCGTGGCTTCGTAGTAAAAGAGTGCAGGTACTAGATTGGCCTGCCTGCAGGCTAAACCTGTCTCCCATTGAAAATGTGTGGAGCATTATGAATGATAATATGTTGCAAAGGATTTGTAAATCATCATATTCGGTTTTTATTTAAGTTTTACACTCTGTCCCAACTCTATCCATCTTCTGGCACTTATCTGATGTTGGGTTGTGGTGAGAAGAGTTTTAGGAGGGAAACGCAGACTTGTCTTCTCCAGTGTAGTCCCAGGCCAAAGAGAAAACACAGAATAATCCCTCTTCTGAGTTCTGGGTCAGATCTGATGTCTCCTCATGGGATGTGGACAGGAAACCTCCAAAGTGATTAACACAGGGAATATCTTATGTCTGAACAACCTCAACTGAGTCAATTTGATGCTGAGCGGCAGCAGCTCTGAAAGAAGAAGTCTTAAAATAATAACGTCCTGCAGTAGTGGTGTTCCCATCCAATTTTAGTTAGAATTTTGAGTGGATTTTAAAAAATTTTGCAAAAAGGAAAAAAGGAAGAAATGCGAATCAGATATGTTTCCATCAACTGGCTTGAAGTGAATCAACCAGGCCATGCACATGTGTGTAGTAAACAGGAAGTCACAAACTTACAGGGACTACACATCTCAGGACAATGGAGAAAAGTTATCAGGAATGTGTTGCTACAATCAGGAAAGTTGTTCATATTCTGTCATATCAACTAGTTTTGACAATGTTACATGCTGTCTGAAGACGCAGAGAAAGAAATGTAATTCTCTTTATGTAATGGGAATAACCGAGACGACACTGACAGCGGGAGGAGCGTCCAGCTGCAGTCACACTGGTCCCAGACAAACAGCTGGAACAGCTGATCATCCATGTGAGGTAAATGTTTGCTACGTCAGAACTTATTCTGCAAATGTGTTTCCATCTCTCCTTTTGCGCATTAACTCTTTTTAGAAAAACCCGAAAACCACCTCAAGYGAGYGTTTAAACTKTTTTGCRAATTAGAGGAAGATTTTTCAAATCGTGATGTTTCCATTCACCTTTTCTAATGTGATACTTCAAAATGCGCATTAAAAAACATTGATGGAAACACAGCTACAGTTGCTTTTTCTAACATGCTGAGAATGTCTCCAGGTTCACAGTGGAGTCACAGCAGCTCTGTTACGTGGCTTTATTAAAAAAAATTAAAAAGTAACTTAGAAACCTCTCCTGACTTAAAAGTCATCATTCTGTGAAACTTTGTCTTGTGAATTTGCACATGCTCAGTCAGTGCTGGCTCCAGCCTTTTTGGCACCCTAGGCAAGTTGAAGGCCCCCCTCCACCCCCCGAACTATGTCCCACCCACCCCAATTTGATCCCCTTAAAACAAGTTTGACAGTGTAAGGTTCTATGGTAAACTTAGATTTATTTGCCCCCCCCACCCCCACCCCCCCCCCGGGTGCGAGTTGTATGGATTTTTTGCAAAATTTACGAATTTTTTCAGGCTTTTTATACATGTAAACATCCGAAGAGATTGACATGAATGGGACAACAAAATACAGACTTGTTGTTACTGAGTTTGTCAACACAAACCGCTACCTGAGAGGCAATACTAGTCTCTCCCCGTCAGTGTTGGAGCAGGACGAGTCAGTGCAACGTCAATCAAATGAGAGAGAGGGTGGGGGCGTTTGCTGCATTGGGGTGGGGGAGAAAATGTTTTATGGGTAGAGTAGTTTATTTTTCCTGTAATACTTCCTTATAGTTTTTTAAGACAAAGCTAATTGAAAGGGGCGCTGAGCAGAGTTACAACCAGGGATTACAARTAATTACTTTTTTTTTCTTCTGCAGTTTGGCGCCCCCTCCAGCAGAAGGCGCTCTAGGCGACCGCCTAGTTCGCCTATGCCAAGAGCCGGCTCTGTGCTCAGTCATTGCAGTGGCATAAAACCAAGCAAAACCAGACAAATGGGGCCATTTTGTGTGTCTTTATTGTGGACATGACATTACATCTTTTTGAAATGATGTACAAAAAGTGTAACAGAACTGAGAATGGCTTTGACGAGGTAGAGCTTCCACATCGGCTTGCTGGCTTTAAAACTACCTTGTTAACACATAAACCCAGAAAAATCAAATGAAAACAATGAGTCCTGTCTGCCTCGGTCCTCTCATCCTTTTTGAAGTGATAATAAATACAGATATCAACCAAGTACATTTGGAATAATGTCTTCTGGAGCAAATTAATCTGAAATCAGAACAAAAATAAGCAACACAGACACAAATAATACATTTTAGAGGTATGAAAATAAAACAGCTAAAAAGAAACACCTGTCCCTGGTGGGAGGGGGGCAGGGTGGGGAAAGCTACTGAACAAACCCTACAGTTTAGAAAAGAAACTAAAAACTCACATTTATATGTTTGTGAAGAATTAAGTACAACTGAATCAAGCATTATCCAACCTGCCATAAAAAAATGCAACTAAAAACATCAAATAAAAATCACATTTTCATTCAAACTCTTGTAATCATCTGAACAAAATGACAGTAGCATCTACATCAGTGAAGTCAGTTAGCCAGCACCCATAAAATAACCCCCCTCTAAAATAAATCTAACTAGAATTGGTCAAAAACAAAGAAACTGGTTAAAGCACTAACCTAGTCTATGTGCACTAGTAATGCAATTTGGTTTCTACTGCAGGTCATAAAGGGTTTGGTCGAAGTGGATTCCACATGTACACCTTATATTACACTCACTCCTGCTTTATAGTTTTCTAAGCCACACTTTGGAGTACAAATTCTGAAGAGTTAATCTTAAAGGGAATTCTGTACAACATTGGTATTAGTACTACACAACCTCAAAGGCTAAAGGATCAGTTTCAAGTATTTTAGCTAACAACAACCTTTATTACAAACATTTGTGTATAATTAGGCATGTTCAAGCACACAGTTTTGTATGCATGTAGGAAACATCTCTGCAACTGTAACAGTTCTCTGCTTTCTCTCTTGTCTCTGGTGGGTTTGAAATTAAAGTCCAGGAACTTTAAGCTGCTTTCAATTTGTTGTGTGACTGATTTAAGCACAGGTTTTATTTCAGAATGAAAAACCAAACACTTTGGCTTTGTTTCAAATAAAATCTCAATCAAACTGAACAGGCACACACACACACACACACACACACACACACACACACACACNCACACACACACACACACACACACACACACACACACACACACGTGTGACAGCTTTTTATTTCTGGGAGCTTTCATAGTGTCTCCACCTGATGTTTTTATCCCTGAACTCTCTGGAAGCCTGACTGCCTGACCTCTGGCTGCTGACCTCCTCGCTCTGGTCCCTCAGAATGCAAATCTGAACACAACGGGACCGACAGCTTGAAAGACGGGCTCATTTAGTCCGCCTGAATGTTTACGCTCTGCTCATTTGGAATTCAGCGTGCCAGTTTTGCTCAAACATTTACAAAGTTTACATTCTGGGAAGTGAGGACACTAACTTTGCACAAGATTGGAGAAATTAGGTCTGACTCGATTTTCCTTCCTGAACAAGAAAACAGAAAAGTCAAAAAAATATACTTTTTGTGTACTAAAGTACATTTGTAATTTTTTTTAGTTGACTTGGTAACACAATTCCAACGTAGCACAAAGACATTATTGCCTTCAAACACAAAAAAGTAAATTTAAAGACTAAACAATCTAAAGTTATGTTTTTTTCTAGCCTCAAAAAGTCACAATTTCTGTTTTTGGATTGTAAAGGGGCTGGGTTTCCACCAGTAGAACCATATTCTTTTTTTTCATAAACAGTTGGTTTAGTTGCTTTTATCTGAGCAAACACCTTCCTGCCTTCTTTTGTCATAGACACATTTTAGGTCCAAACTGAATGCTCGGAGTCTGAGACACTCAGATTATGAACGAGTTATGGGAAAAAACTTCATTCAGTCTCTTCTTTTGAAATGCACAGTAACTGAACGGCCATTTAAATTGGCTTTAAAGACCTAGGCTGTTTCMCCTACGGAGCACACTTCAGCATTAGTTCTCTCTTTCTAACCCAACGTCTCTTGGTCATTGATAAACCACTCTGCAGAGTGGAGGCTTGAATTACTACAACACCTTTCACCTTCTAAAATCAAATCTAAGCTCAAAATGTGTCTCTTCATGATTTGGGAGTCATTTGTTGTAGCAGCTTGATGGTTGCTGTCCAGTGAAAYGCACAAACTTCAATCTAAAACCGTGTTTTGGTGGCCAAAGTGTTCTTGATGAAAAAGATTCTCTTCTTTCTAGAAAGATAACTTTTCCTTTAAGGCTGCCCTTGGCACCTTCACTTGGTACCTCGAAAATGGCTTCAAAGGAGAAATCTATAAATTGTGGGGGTTTTTTTACGATCAGAAATCTTTTAAGGGTTTTCGAACCTTCATATTAAAGTAAACCATGCAACATCTGCAACAATAGTCATGAGTCCAGCTTTCTTGCTTAGAAAACTCTTATAGTTTCACTCCTAACTTCTTCATTTGCTAAAACACTTTAAAATATAAAGGCTTCAAATATTTTTATCATAGGACACTCTATTTTTTAGCATTTCCTAGCACAGCTTGAAAACATTTCTTCACAAAACCAAACTAAAGAGTTCCAAACATCAAGAACTTTCATGGTAGAAAATTCCAGGTTCAGTAAAGACCAGTGAGTTAATCGTGAGTCTTGGGTCCGACTTTCAAACCTCAGAGTTACAAGAAATCTGTCAGGGTATTTTGGGGAAACTAGGGTGGTCCTCTGGTCCATGTTGTGATCCATCAGTCTGTTGTTATTGTGGTTTTGGTAGGAGTTTGGCAGCCTGTTCTCTGTGCTTTTCCTGGCTCAGGGTCAGGCCTTGTATGTCCAGCTACTGGCTGTTATCAAAAGGCAAGTGGTGGACACTCTGGACGTGGGTCTTTAGGTTCCCTTTCTGAGAGGCTCGGTATGGGCAGAGCTGGCAGCTGAATGGCCTTTCCCCTGGAGAACATACACAGAAAGATAAAAAAAAACAACTTTCATTTTATGTCTTGATGCATCTCAGTAATCCAGGTAAAAAATCAAAAGGAAAAAAAATTGTATAGGTCCTCTGGACGGGTTCTTCTCTAATGAAACG